TTTTCTTTAAGGATGGCAGGAATGAAAAACTTTCCAAATGTAGTATTACTAAACACTTTCTAAAAAAAAGCGATATTAGGCCTACTTTCATATTTTTTTAGATTCATTTTTCATTCCCGGGAAGAAATTGTAAATTCCAACTTAGAATGCTAGAATCTCTTGCCACTAAACAAAGAAAACCAACTATTAATAAACTAGAAGATGAGCGCACTGTCTCTACATCTTCGGTTGTAAGAATGTCAAGAACTAACAGAACATGAACTTCGATCGTTGAATATGAGATGAACTAAAAGTATGGATTCAGCAGCAAAAATGAGTCGTTTAGTTATTTACACACAATATTTAGGAAATAATATATTTCCACTTTCTTTCCCTATAATATACGAAAATATCTGAAAGGACTTTGCTAGCCTAGAGTTAAACAAAACACAGTTCAATCATTTTGTTTGTTATATAATATGATTCCTTATATCTCCAAATCAAATAATTAGTTGTTAAGGTTAGCCAGTGTATGTTAGTAATTATCATGAGCCCCAAATAACAACAAATTTACCAATATATGCTTTAATATTAGTTATAAATTTGAGGCGATATTTAGCTATATTCTTTCACTATATTTGATATTACAAGATCAGTCATACACTAATGCGACTCGTCTCATCCGTAATCATTTTTTGAAATAAATATCAATTTCATCCCCTTTAACTCACATGTTAATGCGAAAGGTGAAACGTCTCGAATGTGAAACTTAACAGACTGACTTAGTCTCCATAGACGCAGGTGCTTATAACTAGTATTGATTCTTCCTGTACCAAATATCTTCATCAACTATTGTAAGTTGGTTTTAAGCTGCTCTTAATGTTTATTTTGTGCAAAGTTATTGTTAAATCTTAACGTTATCTAATTGAAAAGTGAACAATGAGGTAATTAATTTCACGATATACTTATATATATATATATATATATATGAGAGTATCAGTACAACGTACTCTTCTTTCACTATAGAGTTGCTCTTGTTAAGTAGTTAGAATTCTACCACTGCTCTGATAATGATTTAAGGTATTACACTTTTGTTTTATGAGTCTGAGTTCTAGAGACAATAGGTGTTTATCAGATAAGTTATTTTACTCCACACGCTGATAGTTGCTCGAATGTCTCCCAAATAAATAATATACATTAAAATACTAATATTTATCTTGATAAATGTATTTCACATTCATTTCGTATCATTCAACCTACATTTGATAACCCAGACCTCTTTTCTTGAAAAAAAAAAAGCTACTTAAACCACGAAAACCACCCTAACGACAAATAATTTTTCTACCTACTTCAAGGCCCGGCATGGCCAGGTGGTTAGGGAGCTCGACTCGCAATCTGCGGGTCGCGGGTACGAATCCCAGTCACACCAAACATGCTCGCTCTTTCAGCCGTGGGGGCATTATATAGTGACGGCCAATCCCACTATTCGTTGGTAAAAGAGTAGCCCAAGCGTTGGTGGTGGGTGGTGATGACTAGCTGCCTTCCCTGTATTCTTACACTGTTAAATTAGGGACGGCTAGCGCAGATAGCCCTCGTATAGCTTTGCGCGAAATTCAAAACATACAATACCTATTTCAATCTACGTAGTTTATATAAATTCTAATTTTCTAGAAAGGCTTCTATTAGTTTTTAAAACAAGTATTGAACTTATATTGGCTGCAGCTGATGCAAAATGCAAGCACCAGTTAAGTTTGTGACTATGTTATTCACTTTATACTCGTATTAGCTGTCATATGATGATCCACTATTCTTATTTTAGGAATTCTAAATGAATATTTTTCGTTTCTTTACTACCGAATAAGATTGAATTGTGAACATTGGAACATTACTAAACAAAACATGGCATTTCAAGAATTACAGATAAAGATACTTGCAGGTGAAACGTATGCCAGAGATGCTCCAGAAATTGAATTGGTACGTTTTATGAATCTAAATTCAAGAAAACATAGTTATAGTAAAGTTTACGAGGAGTTTCTATACTTCGATTGTTCCTCCTACTCCCTCTCACACAAGAATTGAATATTTTTTGGTCTGAAAAAATTAATTACTTTTGAATTAAAAATTAACTTGTAAGTGATGTTCAGTCCAGAAGCAGAAACAACACATTAAAATAAAAGAAGGTAATTTATTATTTGTCAGCCTAGAAAAATGCTTCTGAAGATACTCTCATTTTGCTGTAAAATACATACAATTGTTCGGAAAAACTTTAAGAAGGGTGTAAAATATATACACATGCTCAGTAAAGTTTTGAAACGAAGTATAATTTATATGACTCTTTAGAAAAGTTTTAAAAGGGTGTAAAACATTTAGTAAGCAGTAAATTATTAGTTTGTGATCCTTAGAAAAATTGATTCTAAAACCATTCTGTAGTTCAAATAACGGTTTTAGATAGAATAGTACCTTCACACTAATATTTATGATAAAAATCACCTAGACTGTAGTTTTTTCAATTTTTTTCAGTTTGTCCATTACGAATTTCAAACCAGAAGTCCCCCGGTGGAACAGCGGTAAGTCTTCGGATTTATAGTGCTAAAATCAGTGGCTCGATTCCCCTCGGCGAACACAGCAGACAGCCTGACGTGGCTTTGCTATAAGAAAACACACAACACATACACAAAACCAGAAGTGTGACCCCCCAGTGGCACA